ATTCATGGCATATTGGCCGTAAGCCTTTTGATTTTTGCTACATTAGGAATCTTGGAGCTAGCATATAAGTGACAAATATCAGGATAAATTTTTGCTAAATAATATAATTTTTCGATTGGTGAGATACATGTTAATGAATCATTCACAAAAACACGGTTAAAGAGCTTGTGAATAGGGTCGTTGGTTGCATCTTTTGTACTAGCATTTTCAGGATCTCTAAATTTAGTATTGTAGTTATCATCGTCTTGACCGCTTTGATAATCATCTTCATTTTTATCAAGCTCAAGTTCTTTGTAATTATTATTGTCATTATTTTGTTTATCAGATTCAATAGTTATTTTAATGGATGCTGATAATATAGTTGATGTCAATTTATTTATATTTTTAAAGGATGTTTCGCATGAATATAGTATTGTATCCAGAAATTGAAGAAAGATTTGACGATCCTTATCTAATAGTTTTCTTGCACTAAATAAGAGTTGTGGTTTGTCGCATTCTATACAAATAACCGTAATCCCAACATTCTTGGCATATAATGCAGATGGACAAAAAGGTATTGTATGTTTTTGTTAGCATTTGTATTTCATACTATTAGATTTCATTTCATGACTAGAGGGCCTGTACTTCTTACTTGTTTCACTACCATACAATTCTTCGAAAGATTTATAATATAGGTCATTTCCTGAAACTAGATCTGGCAGAGGAAAAAGCTGGTCGAATATCTCACTTGAACACCAGAGAGGTCTGCAAATAGTGCAATCATCTTTTCCACATTTCTTGATTGTAAAAGAGTAATAGCATATGGTGCAACAGTGATCATAAAATTTTTTTAAAAATGGCTTTGAAAAAAAAATATTAGTATTATGTTTTATATTTTATTTATATTTTTAATATTTATTTACTTTTTGTTTTATATGCTCCACTATACTATCATCACGAGTTACAGTGTCGTCAACAAGGTGAATCGTTTTTCACAATCTTTCTATTTCATCATCTGACACAGCATCGAATGTTTCAAATGGTTCATCTTTTAATGATTGCCTTTCAAATATCTCACAAACAAAATTAATAGACTTCTGAATACTTTCTATAAGCTTTTCCTTAAAGGTAGGGTTTGATTCTATGATATCATGAATATCTTTCATTGTATTGGCTTTACTAATAAGCTTTTCATATCTATAATCTATTTTGATACGCATCAATCCAATATTTTGAAGTCTGAGATTAAGTATTAACATTATATACTCAACTAGGTTTTTCCATGAATGAGAAGGTGGAGTTCTTACCGCAACAAGGTAATCAAGATCTAATTCTAAAAACAAACAAATATATGAAATTTGAACTCTTACAAATGTATATCTATGGTCAGGACCACCGTCGGTATAGATGCATAACACAGGGTTACTTGGTTCATTTATTAATAAAATATTACAGAGCTCTGTTATATGTCGCAGAGAAGAAGAAGGCTGAAATATCAGATCTTTTAAACCTATCTTTACTTTACCTGCATAGAAGTTACCGTTGATTGTTTCTGAGATATCGTATAGCATAATAACACTAGACACTATCTTAGCTTTTGTATAATCATGATCATTTACTACTAATCCTTCCCAACTATCACTTGTTTTCCTCTTTCCACAGCTGCCACAGGATATCTAGGCTTTTTGATTTTACATCGATATTTGTCATCAAGAAACACAAGCATCATAATATTACAGAACTTCATGGCAAATTCTTTCTCATAACGAAATAAAGCTGATGCATAATGGGCATCTGGATAATCTTTACGTAATTGCCAGGCTTGTATTATAAACCATAAAGGTAAGC